TTTCAATCTCATTTCAAAACCTCACCTATTAAGATCATCAAAAAGAAGCAAACTTTTTCTGAATGAGTAGACCTTTCCTTAGTACATCTCTCTGAGTAGAACTTCAGTTTCTAACCAATCTTTTCTTACTCCAAGATACTCAGTTAAATTAGTTATAGAAGAATGACTAGTCAATTTAAAACTCTCTATAACACAACATTCTGTTTTTTTTGACTGTTAAACATAAACAATTATAAAAAAAATTACAAGCAAAATCAACTAATATTGCAAATATTTAATATTGTATACACAATTAAATATACACAATTAAATTCACTACTAACGCAAAGCAAATAACAAGTACAAAGTAACTGTTATATATTTAAACCACAAATGGACTTGTTAAAATTGGATAATTAAATTTCTAATATACGTTAGTATAGTTTTGTTAATTTTTTGTCGTAAATGCATTTTATAGCGCTATATTACATTTATACACATATTTTTACAGAAAAAAAAAAAATTTATTAAAGAATTTTATTAATATTTAACTCTGAATAATATTAAATACATCGTTTTTGCCAATTAATATTTAACGTTGAATCGACATATATACAACGTTATGCCAACTTTAAATATAACGTTGGGTCAACGTATAAAATAAAATATCGAATCAACGCAGAAAATATAACCATTCAAATAAACGTTTTATCGACATAGGTTTTTAGTTGTTATAGACGTCGCATTTCTTACTATAATAATATAAAAACAACGTTGGCAGCCGATGTTGGGCCAACGAAACGCGCGGCATTGTTTTTTAATCATCGAATTGTTGTTTGAACAATGCATATGCTGTTTTAAACAACGTATGTGTGCTAGATGGGTACGGGTCCGAAAATTTGTGGCTGTTTTTCAGGATGCAGTGAAACACGATTAGTCTGTCAACTTCACTTTGCATGGCAAAATACTAATAAAATAATAATAAAAAATGGACATGTCATATACTTTTTCACTAATAATAGTGAATCGGTTGGTAAAATTCTTAAACAAGTTAAAGACTTATTTAGCTTAAAAACTAGTATGCATAAACTCTATAATGTTATTAAAATTTGAAAAATATAGACTTTCAATTGTGTAAAGAATTATTAAAAATTTATTAAACTTAATAATCAGCCCTTTGCATACCACGCGTATCAATTAAAAAGGCAATGCATTTTAATGAGTCATTCATTGATTACTGTTTCAGAGTCGTCTGTTCTTTAGCCCCTGGATCATTTTGCTATTTTATTCTGTATTAACTCTAGGTAATTAAGAACCAAATGTGCCTGTAGAATCTAAAAAACTAATACAGGAATGCATTCATCTAGAGAACTAACCTCTATGAAAGCTTATTAGTAGGTTATCATTTTTATTTTCTTAGTTAGCTAGTTCAATCAGAATTCACAGAAAAAAAATAGCAAAAGTTATATCAAAATATGGTAACATGCTATACAAGTTAAAAGTATTTGAGCAAAACATCAATAGGAAAGAAGGCATTATTAAGGCTTTGAGGGCAGCAGTTAAAAAACTAAAAATTAAATACAAACTAATTACTTTGATAATAGCTTAAGAGCTGTTGATTAGGAAACCCCTATATGTGGTGCAATTGATCATTTAGCGTTTATAAATTCGGATTTTTACTCGCTTCCCTTTTATAAATGTCGTAGTTCAATTATATCAAATATATTCCACACAATGCATGACAGAATATCAGTTAACCATCTTACTATTACCAAAACTTGCAATACTTAAGAATTTCGATTTATTATTACTAAAATGTGAGCTAAGCTGTCATTTTGCACCCTCTAGACACAATTGCCATTTTAAGTCGTGAAGTCTTGAAATCACTCGAGATTGAACGTTGTGAACTGTTTTGTTTAAGTTTGTATGACAGTCAAAATTGTGTTAGCAATGAACAAGATGAGGTTTAAAATGGCATGGTGATACACAACACTGATGATGGAAAGGTGATCTACAAGGTTTTGAAAATTATTTAGACAATAACAAACTCTCACAAGGAATTTTTTCACGGTTTTGGGGAAACCGTTTGCGCATTCTTTTCCATAATTGTTTTATTTATTTAAGTACTTAAATATTTATTAAAATTGTGTTTAAGAGTTATTTAATTTAAAAAAAAACTTATGAAGTTATATTAACCAAAAATTTCTATGTAATATCGTCAAAATATCTTAGAGTAACTTGTATTTCAATGTTTAAATACGGGCGTGCAACTAGTATATATAATTGAATAAGCATGTATGTCGGAAGTATAGCAATTTTACTATGGGATTCGCAGTCGGAACAATAACCACGGCCATAATTTTAAATTAAAATATGTTATTGCAATTAGAATTTAAATGGTAAAAAAGAGGTAAAAAAAAGTCAATATCTTTCTCTAATCTATTAGATCTAGTATTTATAAACTTGTATTGTTAATGAAAATACTAGATTTCACTTCATTTCCACTCTCCTACTTGCGTAATAATAATAGTGTTAGTGTATGCTTAGTGTTAATGTAACCATTACTTAGAGTCTGACATTTGTAATCAATTCGTAGAGATAACTGATCGACTCTTTGTTTTAAGGTTAAGGTAGACACAAAAATGAAAAAACTCACACATTTGACTTATAATATGACTAGAAATTTGACTCAAAACCCGACTGGTTTTATTTATATAAGTTTTTAAAATCACCGATTTGGTTGCAAGTAAATATAATTAGTTAAAAAGAATGGCACAGCTATCGCCACACAAACGTTAAATAATTCCTAAGTTAGATGTTCTGCTAGAAACGTAACGGGGAGACTATTATATGCTACAGTTATCTTGTGTCTGAAACAGGCAATTAGTACATGTTTTCTAAACATTCTACCATTCTTAAATCTTTCGTCTTAAACTCATGCTCTTAATTTATGGTGCTAATAATTTCGTACAAATGTCCCATAAACACTTTCTAATCATTAAAAAAATCTCTACAAACCTAAAATAAATCGCTACAACTATTCAACTGAATACCATCATGTTGTTATTAATGATTCTGAAATATTTGTTCTGTTAATATTCTACACTAACTGTCATGACCCGTAAAATACGGGTCTTTAGGATATTGATGCACACTTTATCCGCGTGCTTACAGTTCATAAGAACTATTACCCGGTTTATAACGCAAGAAAATCTCAATCAAATGAAAACATCTAAATGAAAATTTTAATGTCCTAGATACGAAGATTAAACTTATTGATTGCGTAAACACTAACTTTAACATAAATGGCGTTTGCGAGACACTTCTTGCAACTTATGTCAAAATTTAATGGTGACTCTAAAATCCTAAAGGATAGGGGGGAGACGCTTTTTTTGAGAAAATATTTATACCTACTCCAAACTTACCAAGCCACGTCAACCCTCGTTTATTAATCTTTACTTATCAGGTCTTCTTAAAAATAACAATTGAAAATAGGCATTTTCCCTTAAATTTGAAAATATTTTAATTAAAACTGAGAAAATTGTTTTTATTTCAAAAAGTGATAAAAACAAACTTTCAGCGTAGAATCAGTTTTAAAAGTCATCGACCTAGTAAATCTGGATTTGTCGCAAATGGGCTTTATTTCTCACTAAATCTAAATTTTATTTTAGCATCTCTATAATTTTTATTAGCATTTCACTATTAGCTCACTAAAATTTATATTAACATTTTAAATTTCAAATATTTAAATTAAAACAGATTTTCTAAAATGTTGATTTGACTTTGAGCCACGTTTAAACTAAATTGCGTTATGGTGCTTTGTAAAAAGTATTAGTTGAAATTTTATATTCAACTTACATTCCTACCCCATTTCATATATTCGATTTGGACTAAAATTCCTACAGGACCCTTTTTGAAAAAAGCTACAGTAAAAAGAGGATTTTAACCATTTATTAAACTATATCAAACTTACGAAGCAAAAAAACTCTTTACTTGTTCCGTAAAAATAACTTGTTTTTAGCACAAATTTGTGACAAAATTTTGCAAGCAAAAATCAAGGGGAAAGGGTGTTAAGAAATGGTGTTAAGAAAATAAAAAATATCGTTATCGTTGTTGCATTTTATAGCTATATTACTATTAAGCCAGAATTGTAAAATCGAGGAAAATGAAATCTTTATTTAACTTAAAAATTTCAAATGTTTTATGTAAAAGTTTTTGAATTTTTAAAAATGTTTTTATAAAAAAATATAAACAACAAAATTTTTTTTGTGAATATATTTGATTTAATGTTAAAGACTTCACAACTTGGTTCGTTGCAAAATCACTTCACTGATTCGAAATAGACAGTCTAAAAGAAACAACTACGTAGTTATTATTACAATATTTATTAACAATCAACGATGAAATGTAATCCAAAAAAAAAAAGTTATTTAGGTAATTACAGATTATGGTAATAATATGATATGGTTAAAAAATGCTAAAAAGATATAACTTACTTTGACATAATATTTGGTTCGTAGAAGGTCGTATATTTATTTGGAAGCCAAAAGTAAAGTTGATTTTTATAATAATTAAACTAAAATTTAATATCAATTATAAGCAAAATAAATTTATTAAACTAATTTATATTAGCTCTTAGTGAATGATTAAAAGTAATTAGTCTCAGCAATGAAACTATCTAATAATCATTTTTAACAACAGACACCAACGTGAAGGTGAGCTAAGGAGTCTGTCAAAAAAATATTTGTGCTTTTCTATTAATATATGAAGCATATCTCTTTAATACTGTCATTTCATGTAATTGTCAATTGTTTTTTTACAAGTAACAAAGAATGGCTTTGCAGTAAAAATATTCAGTATCAAAGACTGGTTTTTTAACCAGTATCAAAGACTGATTTTTTCCCAGTATCAAAGACTGGTTTTTTGACCAGTATCAAAGACTGGTTTTTTCCCAGTATCAAAGACTGGTTTTTATTGCAGTATCAAAGACTGTTTTTTAACCAGTATCAAAGACTGGTTTTCTAACCAGTATCAAAGACTGGTTTTCTAACCAGTATCAAAGACTGGTTTCTGGCTTAGCAACAACAAAAACAGTAAGTCAAAAATAAAATTGGCTGTGTTGTTATTTGTCAAAATGTATTGTCTCTTGTAGTAAAAAAATAAGTAATAATTTATTAATTAAGTACATTTGTAAATACAACATTTTGTGTGTAAAATTTGTTTAATGACATACCTTGTAATGAATGTTTATCAATTTTAAAAAATAAACTATTAAACGATCTTGTTCTTGAACATGCAACATATAATTGACCGTGTGAAAAGCAAGGCTTTTTAAGATAAACTCCAACTTTGTCAAAAGTTTGACCTTGACTTTTGTTTATGGTCATTGAGTATGCTAACCTAGCTGGAAACTGACGACGTTTGAGTATAAAGGGTAAATTTGAATCCGACGGAGCTAATTGAACTCGAGGAACTAAGATCCTGTTACCAGCTGCTACCCCTGTTAGAACCTGTCCATCAATATAATTGTTGTGCAGTGCACGTACCATCAAACGTGTTCCATTACAAAGTCCGCCTTTTAGATCTAAATTTCTAAGTAGCATTACAACAGCACCAATTTTTAATTTTAGGCAATGAACAGGCTTACCTGATGGAGTCAAACTATTTAAAAACTCGACTGGAAAATTATAAATTTCATTATGATCATCAGTTTCAATGCTATCTGAACTTAAGTAAATTTTAGTATCAGCAGGTAAACGATCAAGGACTTCTTCATTTATTGCCAATGAATCAACATTTGTTGGTGTTAAAATAGCACAATTAGCATAATCAGCTTCCTCTGTGCCACCAAAAATCTTTTCCACAATAGATTCATTATCGTTTTCAAAGCACTGCTCAGGTATTTCAATACACCCTCGCAAAGGATCTTCAGGCTTGACAGGTAAAGTTCCACTTCCAAGCTTTAGAAGCCATTGAGAAAATTCCTCTTCTCCTATCTGAACCCTCATATTTTCAGTTAATGAAAACCTTTGCACATACTGCCAATGTTCAGAACATTTTAAACATGATTCTACAACTTCAGCTGGTCGACCTCTTTTCACAACTGGAAGTATTTGTCTAAAGTCTTCACCCATAAGAATAACTTTACCACCAAAAGGAAAGTTATTATTACAAATATCTTGTAATAACTTATCAATGGCACTTAAAGCATGTTTAGGAATCATAGATGCTTCATCAAGTAAAAACAAACTTACTTGTCTAAGGAATTCACCATGAATAGAATTTTTGAATAGAACATTACATGTGCTATTTTCCAAAATTGGCACAGGAAGTTTGAATAAGCCATGCAGTGTGCATCCATTTTTAAGAAGAGTTGCAGCTATTCCTGTCCATGCAGCTGTTGCAGTTCTAATATGTCTGATGCGTGTTTCAGTGATTAAATAATTGTAAGTAAATGTTTTACCACAACCAGCAGGCCCATCCATAAAAAACAATCTTGAATGCTTATTTTCATTATTAGGTTCTTCATTAAGTGCAGCAAGGATTGCATCAGCTACATAACGCTGATTATCATTTAATAATGGTCTAACTAGATTTGCTTCATCAATAAATACCTGTACATCTTCATCGTCATTTTCTAGGATAGAATCTAAAAACTAATCTAAAGTAGGCAAATTATAATCAGCTTAAGTTTTACCACTCTGATTAATTATAGATTCAATTTGACAAAGTGCTACTTGTTCAGCAAGTAGGATTGGCATTGAACGGTGTATGTAATCCTCCACCATATAATCTTTAAAGGTATTCCATAGGTGTAAAGGATCATCAGGTTGACATAATGTTAATATGATGGAAAACAGTTGCCTAATTTGTTTAGGCAATCCAGTTGCAACAGCCTCAGTTAATGTATTTCTCCATTCAATGTCATCTTGCAACAGACCTAACTGATAACACGCTTCACGAAATGTATTAAAAACAGTACCATTCACAGTGCGCAAATTCTCGTAAGATAATGCACCTTTTACATGCAAAAGCAACAATCTAAGAAAAAATACTTCACTGGATAGATTGACTTTATACATTCGCACTATCACCTTTATACATTCGCATTGACTTTATACATTCGCATTGTCTCTTTGTCTTACTTTCCACTTGCAATTTTTACCATCAAACACAAAGTGATATGGAATTTCAATATAACAATAGCGACGTGCTTCAAAATTTTCAGCATTTAATTTAAACCAAGCAGTTAGGTGAGTGTCACGCTGTGTTGCACGATTAATAGCTACTTGTTCTTCTCCCTCGTTAAAATATACTATCTGATTATCAGGAAGGTGCACTTGAAGGCGTATAATGGTGCGTGACATATCACTTATGGAATACTCATATATTCGCCAAAGAGCCTCTGGTGCAGAAACAAAGCGACAGTCTAAATATGATTTAATTTCATCATGGTGAACACTTTCATTAATTACCTCATTAGCACAATCATGCCCCTTATATATATATTTGTATAAATACTTAACTGACTTAATGGACATGCAAGCCTCAACATTAATGTGGGCTTGTTATTTTTTCGATCACCAGGGGTTATAGGGTACAACCCAACGATTATCAACTTGGCTACCTTTTATAACAACTACTCTACCATTATCTATACGCCTATAGTGTGGATAGCCATTGAAAGTTGCAACAGTATAAAGATTGAAATCTTTAGGAAAACCTTTTATGCAAACCCCATCCTTCATGCACGATAAATTGGGATTTAAAATTCCGCATGGTCCATGAATCATACATGTTTTTACAATTTCAAAAGTTCAGGATCAACAGTTTGATCTGGAATTTCAGCTGATATTAAACTATCAATATCCTCTGCTGTTTCTAGCTTATCGTTATTTACAAAGTGTAATAAAATATCTACATATGGCAAACCACGTTTTTGAAACTCAATAACCTGTACATGACTTATAACTTTGCCTAAAACACCTTTTTTTAAAAATATCTTCTAAAAAACATTTAAGTTTCATTTTAAATACACGACTAACTAAATCAGGTCTGTCACATTCGCCTGGATTTAAATTTTCTGTAATTTCTCTCCATTTCGGATTACAGGTAAAAGTAATAAAAATATCTGGTTTGCCGTATTTCTTTATAATTGTCATTGCATCCTCAAAATTTTCTTTAAAAGCTCTTGGGCTTCCAACATATGAAGATGGCAGTTCAACAATACGCCCTGGTCTTATGTCATGATTATTTGCAAAGTTGTTTACATGTTCATGTAATGTATCATATTGTTCACTTCTTAGTTTGCTTTGGTTATTTCTGATGAAGGCAAGGCGTTGTCCTTCAATCTTGACATATGCATCAACACCATATTGTTGAAAAAGCTTCCTACCATAAAATAAAAGGCTAAAGCTTTCTCTAACAGATAGCCTATAATTGTGGTACTGAGACAAAGTAACATGATTTCTAACACGTGTTGCTCTGTCTGGATTGTGCTCTAGTTGATCATGCCATCCTGCATCGCCTCTTGGAAAAAAAATTGGATATATCATTGGATCTAGATTAGCAGACATACTTGATATTTTTTTCAAGGCCTGACCTCGAGGGTGTATAACAACTTCTCTAGATGGAGGTGGAGCACCATCGTCTCCTACAAACACAATGGCAACTTCATCGTGTGAAGGTAGATTGTATCGACGCCTATCGCGACCTTCAAGCAATGACATTTTGACAACTGAAGTTGGGCGACCTTCTAAAGCTGCTTGACGCATTTCTTCATCTTCAACTTGTGCCATATTTTTAAAAGCAAGAGCATATGGATTCTGTTGACTAATTATAGTCTGTAAAAGTTCTATTAACTCCCGTATGCAACAATCATTTTGCTCCATTTGAAAGTTTAAGGCAGTATTGGGATCATAAACATATAACTGACAATAAGATGGTGAAACATTTTGATCAGGTCTCAGATTATCAACACGGTGCATAATTTGTCCACAAATTCTAAAACATGGTGGGCCATGATTCGAGGGAGGAGCTATTCCAGCTTCAAATGAAGCAAAAGATAGACAGGCATTATAATTTCGAATGTGATTAAAGAAATTTTTATTTAAAGCACGATCAACATGGTTGCCTTTCATTAAATCCATCATTAGTAGTGGATAAGGTGAAAGCGGAGCTAACACAACTTTTCCTGAATGGCAGCACAAAAAATGTGTTTCATTTAAAAACTTTTTAGCACCACAATATTGACAAATATGGTTCATTTCTCCAAGGTAACTTCTCTCTATAATATTATTATTTCTTGCTATGCAATGCATTCCACACCTAAGTAATGCACGCCTAGCTTCATTTCTTTCATTTTGGCGACGATTAAGTTCTTCTCGCCTAGTCGCATTTCTTTTATTTTGGCGACGATTAAGTTCTTCTCGCCTAGTCGCATTTCTTTCGTTTTGGCGACGATTAATTTCTTCTCGCCTAGCTATTTTTCTTTCATTTTGGCAAGTTCTTCTAATTTCAGCTCTTAAGTTATTTGACATGATAAGACAACTATGTTTAGTTTTGATAAAACTTGATTTGTTTAATTTTTTGCTATACTTATCTAAAATGAACGAACATAATGAAAGACATAACAAACATAATAAAAGACAATTAATTTATCAATCTAAACCATGTATCTAAACATATCTACATCGTCGGCTCAGGATGCAGTTGTCCTATCGCAAATTTATTAAAGTTATATATAAATATGTAATTATCTAATATATGTAAATTTAACATCATATATTAATAAAAAAAGTTTTTTTTTAAAGGCTATATTAAATAATTAATAATAAATAATTTTTTACATTTACAAAATTTTTAACTTACATAAATTACGTTATTACATTATTACAATTTAAATAAATTTGCGATACGACAATTTTAATAAATTTGCAATACGCAATTGCATCGCGAGCATTACAGTTTTAATAAAATTGCGATACGACAATTGCATCGCGAGCCAACCACATATCTATATATTTCTATGTATAACTTTATCTATCTATATATATAGATATATATAGGCATACACTTAACTGGTTTAGAAAAGAAATATACATAGAAGCTGAGTTTAGGTTGAAATACTACATGTTGTATTGTAAGTAGTAAGACGAATAAAACATTTTTAAAAAAATTAAAAAAATAATGATAGTAGTTTAAAAAAATTTATAACTGAATATTAAAGAGTTAAAACTATTTTGTAAATAAAAAAAAAAAAGACATGCCAACTTTTACAAACAAAAATTGATGAACGTCATATCAACCACATGTTGGCGATACCTTCAATAATTTAAATACTTTTTTTTAATATCTAAATGGAATAATATAGACATTGTATAGTGTATATATATATATATATATATATATATATATATATATATATATATATATATATATATATATATATATATATATATATATATATATATAGTTATAGAATAGTAAACTGTCTAGTATAAAGATATTGGTAAAATTCTTTTAAAAACTTAGATTATAAAATAATTATAAATTTTAAAATTCAGAAAAAAAAAAAATACTGAGAAAAGAAAAACACAGGAAAAGGTACCAAGTCGTAGTTTTTAGATTCGGAGGTATACGCGTTGCAACTACCTTTTTTATCTTTTTTCAAGCAGTTTTAATATTTAGTAATATTTTTTTTTAAATTAATAATGAAAGTTTACATTACCTTTATTTCTATGTTAGTTTAAACAGTTTTAAATTGTCAATTTTTAAAGTCTTTTTTACTGTAATTTCATTTTAAAACACTTCCATGAAAAACTATGTAGAACTTTTAAAAATGATGCTATCAAGCTAATTTTTGTTTTTCTTTGTGACTTATTCCTGACTCTATGCAACTGTATCAGTAACTCAGAAGATTGGTACTTTTTACTGTAAGGTACCCATATGTTAAATAAAAAAGTCATAAACGTTTTTCTTGTTTAAAATCATTTCCAACATTGGCAAAATTTATCTTAGGAAGGGTAAAGAAAAACAACAGTGCTTATTGTAAAATTTTATTTTATTTATTTGTATAATTTGTATAATCAATTATAATTATAATTATACGTAACACCCCCTCCCACCCCCCTCCTATTTCTTCTTCTTCTTCCCCAACGAAAAGACGGGAGATCTGCCCCATTATTTGAGACCCATATCCTATGGGCCCTGTAGGATATGGTCCCTGGTTGACTACTCCTGTAGGCTATAAAAGCCTCATATGACAAATCTAAAATGATAAAAGTAACAAAATGAATCTTATACAATATTAAATAAACAAATTTGAATCTGATACATTATTATAAAAATAAAAAAGAAATTCAGAATTTAAAAAAATAAGTAAACATCACATTTTACAGTTACATAATAATAACACAGTAGTCATACTAATGAAATACAAAACAAAAAATTAACTTACCAGCAGCAGCTGCACTTGTCGCAGATGATGACGAAGATGCTGTTGTTGTTGTTGTTATTGTTGCTGATAAGGTATGAAAAAAATTAACTAAATAAAATATTAACAGTAACTAATAATTATTCTAGTTATAATATTAAAAAAGCTGTTTATTTACCAGGAGTTGTGGCAGCTGCTGCCATTGACAATGATGGTGTTCGGGCTATATATAATCAAAAATCTATGATTTCATAATACATAAGAAACTTTACAATAAAAAAAGCTAAATTTTTTTATATGTTTAAATAAAACAATATGTTTACATAATATGGTGATGTGTATACCACCACCATATGTATGCATATAATCAATTATTTTTTGGAAAGAACCAATTTTTTAAATTTATAAAGTTAAAGATATTTTCATACAGGATTGCTCCTCCATCTTCTTTAAAAAATTATTAACTAAAGAGAAAAAACAATTTTATTAACATTTTCTATGTAAAGTGATATTTTAAAAAATTAAATAAAACATGAGTATTACATTAACAAATAAAAAGTTTAATAATCAATACAATCTAAAATCTTACACATTTCTTTCATAGATTGCACTAAAATAACATGAGCTATTGATTATGACACAATCAAAAATAAATCAATCAAATTATGAACTTAATCAGTAATAAATTTAAAAAAAATTTAAAAATCAAAACTTACAAAACATTTGTTGAAAGTTCACTACAAAAAAAAAATAATACTTATACTAATACATTTTATGTCTTTAAAAATTTAAAACAATATATTTCTAGTTAATAGAAAACTAACTGTTATTAACAAAACATTGAATAAAAAATTGAGATTTTTTAACCTGATTGTGGTTGTTGTTGTACTAAAAAAATTAATACAGATTTAAAAAAAATACAATAGTAAAGAAAAAAAAAAAACAAATTATTAAGAACTTTTAAAAGAAAGATTTACATTTAATAAAACAAAAGGTTTTTTCTTACCATATTGTAATTGTTGTGTTTCTAGTTAAAATATAAAAAAAGATAAAAAGTAATAATTAAGTATTAGAAAAACAATTTGATACCAACAGCACAACAAATAAAAATAGGTTTTTTATAAAAAAAAAGATTATTGAAAAACGTATAAAAATAATTTCTTACCAGGTTGTTGTTGCACTACAAATTAAAAAATGTGTAGTATTAAAAAATAAACATGCATATTTTTTTTAATAGAAATCTTTTTTAAAATTTTTTTAAAAAGAGACTTTAAATACATTGGAAATTTTTTTTTACCTGATTGTAGTTGTTGTTGCGGTTCTAGAAAAAATATAAATACAGTTTTAAAAAAATACATTAGTAAAGAAAAGAAAACGACAAAATATTAGGAAATTTAAAAAAAAAAATATAAATAAATTGAAACAAAAGGTTTCCTTCTTACCAGAATGTGGTTGTTGTTGAGCATCTGCTTAAAAAAAAAACAGATTAAATATTTAAGTAAAAGAGAAAAAATATGATCAATGGCACAACAAATACAAAATAGGTCTTTTGTAGGTTTAAGGGGCTATAAAAAAGTATAGAAAAAATTCTTACTTTGTTGTGGTTGCACCACTAAATAAAAATATGTTCAGTATTCAAAATTGAAAAAAATACAGACAACTTAAAAAAATGTGGTTTAAATAAAAGCAAAGAGTAAAGTATATGGAAAGCAAATAAACGAAAAAACTTAACAAATAAATAAAAACAAAATTGGCGACTTAATGAACAAATAAAGACGACTAAAATTAAATTACTGAACAAATAAAATAATAGCGACTTACTAAACATCAAATCATCATCTAAAGCTTCTAAAAATTTAAAAAGAGGTCAATAAGCAATTTAAAAAAAAATAAACAAAAGAAAAAAAAAAAATAATGCTACCTGACATGATTTATTTTCAAACTTATTAATCTAAAAAAATATCAAACAATGTAATAATCTAAAAATAATAATTTGATAATGTTACTATCAATGTAATAAATCTAAATCCAAAAGTCAAGGATTAAAGAGATGTAAGAAAAAATTTGTAAAAAATTCTTTTTTTAAGCCTTAAATTTTATCTTTTTTTAAGTATTTAACTAAGCATTAAACTTAGAAAAACTCGATTAACATTTTGTTTAGAAAACCTAGGTTGGCACTTTGTACCACAGCGATATTTATCATATACAAAAAAGCTGAATTTCTGTTTTTGTATATTTGATCAACAAAGTTTTTTCTCAAAAAGACTTGGAATATGTCAAGAAAGTTGGAAACTAAGTGTTAAAAGACTTCACGAAAAAACAAAATTTTGAAGTTTGTGAACGATTTTTTTTATCTCGTTAGCGAAGTTGGTTCTGTGTCAAAATGCGAGGATCAAACTTTTGATAAATATCTTTACATATGTTGTCTATATACAATATCTATAAAACTTTATAAGTATTTGAATTTGTATTTAAAAAAGTCTAAAAAAAAATTAAAACAGTTGTCGCCAACGGTAGGACTCGAACCACGGCAGCTTTGTTTCAAAGCCCAGCGCGATAACCACTCTACTACGCCGTCACGTAGTGTCTTGAAGATTTCAAATTAAATAAAAATTGTTTTTTAACGGATAAAACACAAAAGATTAGAAATTAAGCAAAGGTTGACAAAATGCAGTTCTTAAGTGAAAATCAAACTGTTGAACTTGATATATGTTTAAGCATGTTTTAACATTACATAACATGAAGTTTATGTACGTACAATATGAGTTTCACGTTTGCTCGCGTTTTCTTAAAAAGCAAAGGTGAGACTCTTTCTCGTCACTACCTCGGATGCAATGGTTGCCAAGAGTATCGTGTCAAACAGGCTCGAAAGCGCACTACTATTACTACTACTACTATTAAGTCCAGTATTATTATAAAGAGATTCTGTTAATATATTACATCATTAACGTATATTGTTTATGTAATTATATATACAACATATACAAATATTAAATCTAGGTACGTAGGCTGATTTTTTTAAATTAATTAAATACAAGAATATTATATACTAGCTGAATTGACCCGTAAAAATACGGGTCTTTGTAAGTCTATTCCACACAAACCTTTTGCCTTATTTTCTTAATCTAGCTGTCCGTATCGGTTAATACAGGTCTTTTCTTCTACTTCTATATTTATCAATTCCACGCCAACCATTTCTTTACTTGTTCTTTATTTACTTCAATATTTTTTAGTAAACTGTGGAAAAAAATTCATAAAAAAAATTTGCTTTAAGAGCAAAAAAAAACTTTAACATACGCACTTTTTCCACATGCGTATATAGCTAATTAAACCCCGTTTATTTATTTATTTTTTTTTTAAATTCTGAACTAAACTACTTTCTACTTTTAGACCAGCCGTGGACCATGGTTTATGGTCGCGTCCTAGCCATATTCAATAGTTTACTATATTTATTATTATTATATGCTTAGTTTTGAATAATAACGGTCTTTTATAGTTATCTTTGTATTAGACGGAAACGGTAATGCAATTCTTTAAAACGTTAGTCGCTTAAAGCGTCAAAAGTCATGCAAAAAAATAAATTATAAATTTTGTGGTTTAAAAGTTGAAAAACTAATAATATTATAACAAAAAGTTTTGTAGTTTTTAAACGTTATTATTTAGCTCTTACTTATGGTATTTATTTTGTTTTCATTTTACATTTTTAAAAAAATGTTGAAGCACCTAACTACATGCATAACTTTGATAGCTCACAAGTTAAGTGCGCAGTCATCAGAGTCGCTGTGCAAGGCTTCAAATCCGCGCCTAAAAAATCTCAATACATTTTTTTAATTTTTTTAATCTGGCTATATTTATAGCAAAAAATTAAATATAACAAAAAACTTTTTAATTGCTTTTTTTTCCCCTGCCTCCACTGCAATACCATGTGGAGTAGCAGGACGGTTTTATCAAATTTTTTCCTTATTAGGTTTTAGGACCTTTTTTTTTAAGACTATCCGTAGCTTATTAGGACCAATTATGCGAGAACAGTATCAAAATCGTGACACACGCAAAAAATTTTCGCCACGTTTATTGGTGTTTTAAGAAATCCAAAAAATTTATAAAATTAAAAAAAAAAAAACGGTTAAAGTGTATAACATTTAACTTGTTTAACTTCACAAATATTTTGTAATTTGAAGAAAAAAATCGCTGGCGGTAAATTTGAACCACGACTATTACGTTCAGAGGCTTAGCGCGCTAACCACTCGGCCATGCTGACACATCAAATATCGAAATTTTAAAAATATATAAAAATTGTTTTTAACGGAATTGCTGTAGATCAAAAAATTAGGGGAGGTTGACGCAATGCAATTTTTAAGTCAAAGTCAAAGTATAAAACTTGAAAAATGTTTCATTATGTTTAATTATGTTTAATTACGTACCTTAGATATTTGCATACACGTTTTCTTCTAAAAAAAGTGTTGCGACTCTTTCTCCTAACACTACTATTAAGTTTGGCATTATTATATAGAAGATAGATAGATTATAAAATAGTTTTTCACTTAAAAGGACAAACTCTATTCTACATTAACCTTATCTTTATTTCTCACTCTAATATTTTTTAGTGATTTTAGCACATAATCTATTGAAAAAAAAAAAAAAATTAACATATGCACCTTTTCCGTATATTTATATTTAGAGCTTAACATGAAGAAGGTAAATCATTTAGTTCAAGACAACCTGCCCAAACCCAAATCCTCTGTTGATTTATGCACACTCACTGTCGCTAGGCGTGTAAAATAAGTAGCCAGGCAAGTCAAATAAATTAACTTGATCTTTTTAACTTGATATTTTTCTGCATAAAACAAAAACAGAAAATGTGAAGTACTTGATATAAGGAACTGTAATATTGGATTTAGTTAATTTAATACAAAGTGATAGCAAACTGCAAAATGAGGTAGCAACGTGAAAATTATTCAAATACTAATTTACAACAATTTGTATTTCGTTTTATTAAAATAGCTTTATTAAATAGTATGAAGATTGATGATTCTTCTTCTTCGCCTTTAGAAAATGATTAACGATTTGAAAGACTTTTAAATTGATTATAAAAGCATTATCTAAAAATGAAATAAAATCATTATTAATAACACTGAACGCACATTTTTTTGTTTTATGTTAATTCATTTGAAAAATGAAAAATACGAAACGAAATTTAGTAATATTAAAGAAATATTATACTCTTACTTTGTGAGAGTGCTTTTGTAAAAGTCTCTAATATTTGTTTGGAAGGCTGGAAATACTTTTTTTTTTTTTTAAAATTAAGTTTTATCAGCATTGCTAAAGATAAAAATTCTTACTGACACAAAAAAATTGGGCTTTTTCTTAAAATATTTCTTGGCTTTTAGTGAATGATTAGGAGTAAGTTTCAGTAATGAAGCTTCCCAATAATCATTTTTAACAATAGACACCAATGTGAAGGTAAGCCAAGCTGTCTATAAACACAAAACATCACAACAATATTACAGGATGACAAACAATAACACCAGTAGTGTAGGCAGGATTTTTGTTGTTTCAGGTATATAGAATTATTTTTTGTTTGGAATTTGTTGTTTCAGATATATAGAGTATATAGTGTAGGCAGGATTTTTGTTGTTTCAGATATATTTAGAAGCTGTTGAAGAGTTTAACTTTGTTATGTCTAAAAAAATTCAGGTTAGGAAAAACACTTTTTTTAAACATTTGTTCCTAAGCTTTAACAACATCAATTTTTTGCAAAGTTTTTTAATTCTATAAACGTGAATACACTTAAGTTTGGTTGAAAGTGCTATCTGAAGCATCAAAAGACCCTGCCAGTGCTACTGAATACACATAGCATAAAATGTTTGTACATAACACAAAATATTCAGATTATGTGTTTCCAGAATAATTAAAAAAGCTAGACAACACAACCTAGCTCAACACTTGTAACACCGCTTGGCATTAAGTGCCAAGTAACATCATTAGTAACACCGCTTGGCTAGCAAGAATCACAATCTTGCACTACACGTTGCCAAGTAACATCACTTTTCACATGGAAACAACTTAATATAAACTTAAGCACATAGATATAAATAAAGATATATAAACAAATATCTTATTAATTTTTTGCTATACTAATCTAAAATGAACAAAAACAATAAAGTGCTATTTATCAGTTTAAACCTATGAAACTATGTGTATAGCGTCTAATAAAATTTGTGAACAAACGATATAACTAAACTGGTTTGAAACAGAGAAAAAGCCAGAAGTATCTTGTAATAACATACTATATTGTAAGTAATAAAACAGTATTTTTTGAAACAAATAAAAAATTTTGTTATTTTTAAAGTCATATTAATGGTAATATTAAAAAGCAAAATTAGTTACAAATTTTTAAATGACATGCCAACAATTGCAAACATGTTGCATCATATAGACCACATATGGCTGACAACTGATTTTAAATACTATTTTATAATATATCTAAAGAGAATAATTTAAAGAGATTAATAGGTGTATAGTGCATATATTAGACATATTAAACAGATATCATAGAAAAAGAAATACTTCAAATACCAAATCTTTCGAAAACTATATAACACTTAACAAATTAAAGTTAAAACAAAAGAAAATTTAGTATTATTAAAATTAAAAATGAGGATAAAAAGATGTAAAAACGTAAGTTAATAAAAAAACTTATAGACAAATTATTGAAAACTTTTATAACATAAGAGTTCTTTGTTAGTTTAGGATTTAAAAACAGAATTAAAAACCAAAAAAATAAAATAGTAAAAGTATATAAATTAAAATAATAAAAAATTGCGAAATTTAAAAAAACATTTTTTTAAAAAGTCAATTTTCTTTTTAAATAAAAAAGAAGATAATTCTAACAGTAGTTTAAAAAAGCTACTGGTAGAAATTAAAAGAGTTAAACCGCTTTCCAGCAACCCTCCTTTCACCAGTGGTGCCATATGGGGCTTGTCTCCTCCATCTAAAGGAGGGATCATCTCCCCCATATTGACTCCACCGGTAAAAAGCTCTTGGAGATGTTGGACCTGGGTGCTGGGAGCGATATTGCAGGAAATCTTGATGCGATGCTAAAAAACAAAAACAAAAAAAGAAATAAATTTGAATACAATACTGCACAAAACAACTAATAAAAATATTATTTAAAACTACTTAGACTTCAAAAAAAAAAAAGTTATGACAAAAAAAATAAATAAATAAAGTAATGTAAAAATAAGGATATGCAATGTTTAAATTTTATATATACCTACACAAATACACATAACACCCACAAAACTGCATAAGTATGGAGAACAGATTACCTGATGGTCCTGCAGATATTGTTGCTATTATTGAAATAAATAAAAAAGTATATGAACTAACACATATATTAAACAGTTATGTAATTGCATACAAAAAATGAAAAAAGTAATGTTTAGGTTTCAATACACATAACACTGCATAAGTACGGGAAAACTGCATAAGTATGGAAAACACATTACCTGGTGGTACTGCAGTTGATACTGTTGCTATTGCAGAAATAAATAAAAAAGTATATAAACAAACACATATATTAAACAGTTATGTAATTGCATACAAACACGAAAAAAGTAATGTTTAAGTTCCAATACACATAACACTCATAAAACTGCATAAGCATGCAAAACACATTACCTGATGGTACTGCAGATGATATTGATGCTATTGTGAAAGTGAAAAAAAAAAAAAGTGAAAAAGTAAATATGTTAAACAGTTATTTAATCGCATTTATGTAAACAGTAATGTCTAAGTTTCAATACACATAAAACCCATAAAACTGCATAAGTATGCTAAACAGATTACCTGATATTATTGCTTGAGGTGCTAATGTAGAGACAAAAAAATAAATAAATAAAGTAATCTGTAAATTAACATATGCTATCTTTAAGTTTTAATACACATAACACTCATTGAACTGCATTAGTATGCAAAACACATTACCTGATGGCACTGCAGATGATATTGATGCTATTGTGAAGGTAAAAAAAAAAAAAGTGTGAAAAGTAACATATTTTAAACATTTACGTAATTGATAACAAATATGAAAAAAGTAATGTTTAAGTTTTAACACACATAACACTCTTAAAACTGCATAAGAATGCAAAACACATTACCTTATGGTACTGCATATGACGCTATAGTGGAGGTAAAAAATATATTTACATAAACTAACATATACTAATCAATTAAACAGTTTATTTTAGAGTGATAAAACCGTACATAAACATCAAAAAATGTGTGTTAAAATTAAACAAAAAGAAACATAAGTGTACTTTGCTTACCAATTGAATTTTCTAAATTTTCTAAATAGAAAAAAAAAAAAAACTCATTAACATTAGGAAAGAAACTAACATGCAGAATATTTGTCAACTTTAGGAAATCTATAAATAAAGTTGGAACAAAGCAAAAGGCAAAAATAACAATCACAAAACAAAACAAACCAAAAAAGAAAAAAGCGACATAAAAAATAAACTAAAGAAACAATCCACAAGAACAATATAGTAACTTACTAAGTTGTTGAAATATAAGCCCTATAAAAATAAAATGGTAAAATTTGTATCAAAAAAGCTAAAAGACCATAGAATACACCCTTTTTTTGAAAGTAAAATGCTATATCTTTATCTATAAAACACAAATGTAATATGATCAAATTCTGTTTACCCATTGAATGTTCTAATTTTTCTAAATAAAATGAAAAACTTATAAACATTAAAATAAACTAACTTGCCAAATATTAAATAACTTTATTTTAAATAAATATGTAATAAAAAAAATAAAGAGCATGACAACAACATTAACAAATTGCTTACCTAGATTCTCAACAGAATCTTCTAATTTTTCTAAATAAAATAAATTTAAATGTTACAAAAGTCACTTGCTGACTGACAAACTGTCACAACTGACAAAAGTCAGTTGCTAAATAACTTTAAAAAAACTAAAAAAGCATACATGTATTTGCACACAAAAAAAAACAAAAAACAACAACAAAATTCCTCACTTAGCTTGTCTATTACTTCCGCTAAACATAAAAAAAAGTTATAATTAACAAATTGCTGAAATTGGTGAAATATATATCTTTGTAACATATCCTTCTCATACAAAATTAGCTTACTTGGCAAGAGCTCTTCGGCTCTGATCTCTTGAACATCTAATATATATATAGACAATATTAATTTTCAAAATATTTACTTTTTCAATTAAACATATAAGATTTGTCTTAAAAACTGTTGCACAGTTTTATTAGTTAACACATTCAGTAAATGACAAAAAGTTTCATTTTACGTAAAAGTTTAGTAGTTAGAAGACTTAAAAGTCAATTTTAGCTTAAACACGTTTTATAAAATTTTAGCTTAAACACTTAAAAATAAAGCTTATACGCGTTTTTAAGGTTCACTGCTTCACAAAAACATCAATCAAAATAGCGGAATAAACAAAAACTGAGTTTTGGGTCCACCCTTGTAAAGTTCTAAAAATTAATTTATATATTTTTTAATTTTAGTTAAATTTTAGGGGGGTGTACTTGATTCACGGGGTTAGGGGAGGGCGGGATATCTTGGTTGATTTTAATTGAAAACGGCTAAATTAAATCATCTATTTATTCACACCGTTAATCAAGTACAGCTCCGCCACTTTTAGAACATATGTAACTGCTACTATATATAGTATATATAAATGGCTTACTTCGAAAAAATGCAGTATTTTTTACAGTTAATTATCTACTATAGTACATTTTTCTGATTTAACTGATATGATATATATTGGGGACAATTACAGTCATGTTATATTGTGAACCAAAAATTAAATGTCTAGTCAAAAATTAATAGTCTTAACAAATACTTAAAAAATAAAAACAAACAAAATTAGAATTATATATTTATTTCTTTGAGAATAAAACACCAAGGAAAAAACAGCAACAAAAAAATTGTAAATATCTTCACTGATTGAAGATATTTGAAATTTTTTTGTTGCTGTTTTTTCCTTGGTGCCTCCCAGCACCCCGGTATGAATGAGCTCTCCATTTAAATGAGGGCTCATCCATACCATTGTTAAAGCACCATTTGTTAAAGGACCTCTCAGAAAGAGGTCCTGGGTGCTAGGAGCGATAAAGCCTGTAGCTGCTCCAATTTAGATCTAAAGAAATAAAAAATAATATAATAAAAAAATAGATATTTGCATTTAAAATAATAATAAGATAAAAGCATAACTCTACCGGTTGCAGCAGTGCCAGACAATGCTAAAGAAATAGAAGGAAAAAAAAAGTAGAATAAAGTAAAAACTGAACATGTTGGTATTTGTGTTTTGAATAAAATTGCGATTTGAAAAAAAACGCATAAAAATATAAAACATAATCCTACCAACTGTTGTAGTAACAGATAACGATGCTAAATAAATGGAAAAAATAAAATAAAAACCAAACATGTTCATATTTGTATTTTGAATAAAATTCCAATTTGAAAATAAATGCATAAAAATATAAAACATAATCCTACCAGTTGTAGTAGTACCAGATGACGATGCTAAAAAAATTGAAAAAATAAAATAAAAACTGAACATGTCGATATTTGTATTTCAATTAAAAAATAAAGCATAACCTTACCAATTGTAGTAGTACCAGATGTCAGCGCTGAAGAAATAAAAAATAAAAAAAAAGTAGGGTAAAATAAGAGTAGGATAAATAAAAACTGAACATGTTAATTTTTGTTCTTCAATAAAAATATCAAGCATAATCCTACCAATTGTAGTAGCACTACCAAATGTCAATGCTAACGAAAGGGAAATAAAATAAAAGTTAGATAAAGTAAAAACTGAACATCTTAATATTTGCATTTTTATAAAAATATAAAGCATAACCCAACCAGTTGTAGTAGTATCAGATGGTGAGGCTAAAGATATAGAGGAGAAAAAAAAAAGTAGAATAAAATAAAAACCAAACAGGTTGATATTTGTATTTTAATCTAAATATAAAGCATACCCTTACCAATTGTAGTAGTACCAGATGTCACTGCCAAAAAAATAGAAAATAAAATAAAAGTAGGGTAAAATAAAAACTGAACATGTTAATCTTTGTACTTAAATAAAATTATCAAGCATAACCCTACCAGTTGCAGTCATATCAGATGATGATGCTAAAAAAAATGAAAAAAATATAAACTAAACATGTTGATACTTGTATTTTTAAAGTATAACCCTACATGTTGAAGTAGTACCAGAGAACGATGCTGAAAAAAGAGGGAAAAAAGAAGAAGAGTAGAATAGAAAAAAAAAACAAATGTAATATTTGTATTTTAATAATCTACAATATAATTGCAAAAAAATAAAAAGCATAACCCTACCAGTTGTCACAGAGTTAGACACTAATAATGACACTTCAAAAAAAATTAATGTTAAAAATTATAAAACATATAATAGTTAATAATAAAAAGTATGTATGTATCTAAATATAATTTTTACCTGTTTTCCTCATTCCTTCCATAAAATCATCAAAAAAAAAAAAAAAACTTGAAAATTTTATAAAAAAGACATAAAAAAAAATCAATCAAATCAGTAATTTGAAAAAATATCTTTAAATTAGGATAAATTAACAATGTTGTGTTAAATTTAAGGCTCTATCACTACTCTGTGTGTGTGTGTGTGTGTGTATATATATATCTATATATATATATATCTATATATATCTATATATATATATATATATATATATATATATATATATATATATATATATATATATATATATATATATATATATATATATCTATATATATATATATATATATATATATCTATATATATATATATATATATATATATATATATATATATATATATATATATATATATATATATATATATATATATGTATATATAACTTATCAATTGGTAAAATTATAAAATAATTTATACCTAGTCTAAGTTTCAATTTTCCTATAAAGTAAAAAGCAAGTTAAAAGTAAACAGTACAAATTATTAAATCCTAATAACAAATATTTAATGACAAAAATACTGACTGATTTCTTTTGTGCTTTGTCTAAACAATAAATTTAAATACACTTTTATTAAAATCTTTTAAAGACATATTATTATAAAAATTCAATAATTTTAAAAACAAAATTAATTGCTAATTGGCTAACTAACGATTATACCTTTATCAGGTCGCTTATGATAGACTAAACAAATTATATATACAATTAACATCTTGTTTTAGACAGAAGTTATCATTAACATATATATTTAGTTCTACTAAAATAGTTACAAAATTTAAAACTTACTTTCATCTTCCCCATCATTGTCAACTAAATGAAAATTCAACTCCAAAAATACTCTACTATATACTACTAATATTTTAAATTCTACTTAAATATTTAAAAAATCAACACTTACCTTCAGTTTCATCTCCGTGGTTAACTAAATAGAATTTACAATAATAATAATATAAATCAAAATATAAATGAAAAAATAATAAATTATACTTAAATATTTAAAAAAACAACACTTACCTTCAGTTTCATCTCCGTGGTTAACTAAATAGAAATAAATATTATTTACAATAATAATATAAATCAAAATATAAATGAAAAAATAATAAATTATAGTAAACCAAAAAAAACAAAAAATCAAAGTTACACATTTACAGTTACAAAAAAAATCTATATACTTGATAATGTACTTAAAATGTAACTTAAATTATTGTTATTATTTTGATTATTAATAAGTCTTATATCTTTTAAATCGCTCAAATAGTTTTCACATAGTTTAAATTTCTCCTTACAATAAGACTCCTTTGATGTTAAACAAATAAAATGTTTTGAAAAAGATTAAAATAAAAACTTTACCGTTCATTTTTCTTTTTTGCTAATCTATAATTTTTGCTAAGCTATAATAATTAAATTAATAAAATTAAATATAACCTATAAAGTAAAAATAAGATTTTTACTTTACAACTCTTCTTTTTATAACAACATAACAACGTTCTAAAATAAAAAATTGCAAAATTCAACTTAAGTAAACATGTAAATTGAAACTTTATAAAAATGATTTCCCTAAAAAGTTAAGAGAAGTTCGTCAGGTCTGGCTCGGTAGACCTTTTGGGTGGACCGCATGTACTTAAAAAACGCGCTCTAAAAAAAGCCTAGAATCTACTTGAAAAAACATTAAACGATGACGTAACGCGACATTGAACATTGAACATTGAATTTTTACAGTATTCATATTTAGAGATAATGTCCCGAAGTAACTGTTTTCGTAACAATAACAACAGAAGCAATGCAATTATTTTTTTAACTTTCGTAATTACAAAATTATGCAATAGAATAATTTCAACGTAATAAAAAGCGTGCATTGACTCAGTCTAATCAGTTTAGAATAAGTTGAGAAAGAACTTTTTTCACAATAAAATTTTGTTATGTTTAATATATTTAATAATTAAAACAGCTATTTATTTTCTTGTCCAAGTATTGGGGAATAAAGTCATCGCCTTTGCATAAACCTTCGTAAAAACTAAATTAAATGAAAAAGTTTAACCAAATTTGTCTAGCGTAATTAATGAATCAGTTTTTTAACACATTGTCTGATAAAGTTCGCGAATAAATTACGTATCAAGTCTTTTTAATTTCGTGAAAACTTTATGACTTATCGTCATCTTTTCCTTTACTTGTATCAAATTTCGTAGCTGAAAAGGGTTTTTTTAGGGTTGCTAAACCCTAAAAAAAGAAAACAAAAACTGTATAAAAAGTTTGAAAAAAATGTTCAAGACTTTTTTTTTTTTTTTACAAGAATTTTTTTTTATTATGAAAATATTTTTTTTATCAAATATTTTTATATTATCAAAATATTTTTTTTTATTATCAAAATATTTTTCTTAGATCCAATTTCAATTTTATACTTTGTTTAGACTTCGTTTTCTTCTTTTAATATTGTTTTTTATTCTCTGTGTATAATTTCCTCTTTCCCACGAAATATTGCCGCGGTCACGTTTTCTAAAAAATTTATTCTATGCGTGGACATTCAAGGCGTGCGACCTTTTCTGGGAAAGCCTGGAATATTTAATATCGACGCTTAGAATGGTGAATGAACATCTTTATAAACAAGTTTATTATCCTGAAAAAACGTGTTATTGCGCAGATATCATTAAAGCAGGTCACGAAGCTCTTCAAACATTTTGTTTTTATTTAATGTGTATTTATAAAATATTTTAAAAAATAGATATTTTAGAACAATTAAATTACTTAATCGTTCTAAATAATCTATTTTTTAATAATATACATATAAAAGTATATTATTAAAAAATGGATTATTTAAAACTCGTATTTTTTAATAATATACTTATGAAAGTTCAAATAATGTTATTAATTATTTTAAAACTCATTTGACTTGATTAGAAGTAATTACACATTTTATAAAAGAACATAATTTTCCTTTATCTAAAAATAATTTTTCAAAATTCGCTATTTATATTTTCTGTTTACTTTTTGTTGACAAAATAATTCTTTGACTAGGTAGTTTGCAATTTTTAGTTTATATATTTGACGGTTATACTCTTTCTTACTGTTGTTTCTAGTCACTTTTAGTATAATATATTTTTAACAAAGAATTAAATATATTTGAAAAAAAAAAGAAATTTAAAAATACAACATGTTTATTATAAAAAAAAACGCAGTAAATTTTTTTAACAATATAACTTTAAAATAAAATTGACATATTTAAATTGTCAATGATAGCTATTTCATGCAGGACATATATATTTTGTCGTAATTTTTCAATAGATTTTGGTAGCTGACAAATATGGTAGCGTGTTAGAACAAAATTCGATTTATTAATAAACTTTAAACTTCTTATAAACGACTTTTGCTGTATAGCGTTTAAAGCATTTAATTTCTCTCGAAATGTTGTATTTAGTAAAATGTCAATATATTGATTTTCTTCATCAGTCCATTCGTACAAGTTAATCTTTCAATCACCAACTCTGCTAAAGTTTTGTCCCAAAAAGACATTTTAACTTGCTGAAAAAAAGTTTTATAAAATAAAAAGTTTAAAACAAATAAGGAAAAAAAAAACAACAATTTTTATAATTTTTTAAATAAATTTTTAAAAGAGTTTTAACAATACAAAGAGTTTTAATAAGTTTTTTAATCGACCTTTGCCAACGGTGGACAAGTATACAAATCTATACTTTCTTGTTGTTTACAAATAGCTCCTTGAGGAGGCACAAATTTCAAATTTGACGAGACTCTTTCAATACTTATCAAATTATTAAAGTTATTAAAAACTGATTCGTACGATATAAGCAGAAACAGGTTTATCAAAAGTAAGGATGCAAGGATAATAAGTTAAAAACTCGTGAAATTCTTGTATCGCGTTCCTATGAAAAAATGTAGTTATTCTTTAAATGGTTATTTTAAAGTATAATCATGAGGAGTTTGACACAACTAAAAATAAACTGCAGAATAATTATTTAAATTGTATCCGTAAACTTTAAAGAATATTTGTTTAAATTTAATTATAGCAAAAATTGATCTTGCAATTTAAACATATTATAAACAGTTTTAGAAAAATTAAAGATATATAGTTTTATTTTTCCAATTTGAGCTGACAAACAAGCAAAATGGAGCAAAGTTGGTATTAAAGATTAAATAAATCAAATAAAAACTTTAATTAGAACCATATTTTTTCAAATTTTAGCAGACAAATTGCAAAGTCAATTTTTGGAAAATTTTTTTAAACTCTATTTAATTTTTAAAAAAATTAGTGCATTTCAAATCAAATAAAACTAATTTTTTTCAATTAAAAGTAAAAATAATAAATGTGTATATTGGTTGCTAAGGCCGTTGCTGGGTTTCGAATATAACTTTGCTGCCTTTGAATAAAAATAATGAAACTTTTGTTATTTTCGGAAGAAAAGTAAAGTGGTTCTCGTCATTTAAGATGTTCTAACTGTAAGAATTTATAAAAATCATTTTATTTTGCTGGTTTTAACAAGGTAGCACCACCACCCCTTCAAAAACGAGTTATCATCAAAAATATATCTCAAATAAGAAAATATGATTTTATTCACAAATATTTATTAAAAAAAAGTTAAAAAGGAAAATACATAAAATAATAGTAAAAATAAATTATTAAAAATCAGTGTCCGAGTCATAATTGAAATCTTTCTTTTCATCAATATTACCCAACTGATTTAAATTAAACACCAAATTTGAGTTTAACGTATTGATTTTCGTAACTCGGCTTTTCTTCTGTTCCACTTTTTTTCGTGGTTTCATTTTTTTATTTTCTCTTTTATATTCTTTTTTCTCTTCTTCTTTACCTTTTAAAGACAATTTCAAGTTTTGACTCATTTTATTTAGCTAAAAAAAAAACGAAAGTTTTTATATAGATAAATAGTTTTCTCTTTCTTTCTTTACAATTTTATTAATGTTATATTTTTTTTTTATAGTTTTATTCTGTTATAGTTTTATTCTGTCTCATTAGGCAAAGAGCAATGTTAATTTTGAATTGAAGCAGTGGCAATTTAGCTGATGGTGGTAACCCTGATTTAGAAAAATTAAAAGCATACAGAAGCCACCCTTGAACTACAGCCAAATCGAAGATATGAAAAGTGATTCGGTGGTACCACTTTTTGGATCTGATGTGGTTTCTATATAATGCCACCAGGGAATCCAACAGGTCCACACCACCCATAAAGGCGTTGTACAGAATAATGATGGAAGGGGCAGTCCACCTCAATATCCTTCTTCTCTTTCTTGTCCCATTTTCTGACCTTTTTTACTGGCTCTACTGCAGCGAAGGTGCTAAGAAGAGTCACAGCTTTGTTGTCCATCTACCTGACAGCATTCAGCTGCACACCATCAAAAACTCCGGTTTTCAGTACAACAGAACCTCTTCCTTTTTTTGATAGCTCTTTGTCTAGAGGAAATGTGCAGCCTTTTAAACGATTGGGACGGGTAGCTATTGCTTCTTTTCATAACAGTACTTTGGGGGGAGGGGAGCAGAAGTAAACCAATTATCGAAAAATACCTGATGTCAGCAATGTCTAGGAACATCTTGCATGAGTCTAAAAACTATATTGCCTGATGCACCCAGATCAGGTTTTCCAGGGCAATGTTGGATTTGGCCGACATAGAACTCAAAATTGTGAATGAGGCAAGTGCTACAACCCTATCAGGGCTCCAGTACAATCTGGAGCGTGGTAGGCGATCTACACTCATTTAAAAGATAATCCCTAAAAACTGTTCTAGCTCGTCCATTATAATATTGGCAGGTTTATTAATGTCCTGCTGTAAGCTGTACGGGTTAGATTCTGTGACGATGTTCTCAAAGGTTCCTTCGGTAAATATTTCCCTGAAGTATTCAATTAGCTCACGCAAAAGCCCAGGTTCTCTCTCTGTCCCAATGAAATTTGGTATATCTGAGGATCGATCAGCATGATCAGTTCTTTCTCGCCAAATTTGAGGCCTTGAGCTGGTGGCTAATAGTTGGCTGCTTCGGCATCATCATCATCTACAAAAATGTAAATTCATAAAACATTTGAAAATGCTACCCAAAAAAAAAAATAATAGTGTTGAGACTAGTGCTGGTTATATTATAGGCCTAAACACAAGATTTTATGGTAATTAGATGAGAAAATT